GTTTTCAAGCAAAAGATTCAGCACGGCAAATATTCAGTTGCCATATGGGACAGGTAGAAGATCTGGGACAGGTAGAAGATCTGGGATAGGTAGAAGATCTGGGACAAGTGACAAATTTGAGGGGTAGGAGGGAAGGGAAGAAAAACCAGAGAAACCCTTCCTCCCTCATCGCTTTGTCACTCATCCCAAATCTTCCACCCATCCAATAGGGTGATCGCATTTTCACCCCACTGAATCACAAACTACTGCCTGCAAGCAGGCTATTCCAAATTCAGATTAGATATTATATAATAAGAAAACACTTGAAGTAAAATTTTTTTAACTTCCACTCATACCTCAAAGAAGTTATGCTCAACTTTGATGATTTCTTTAGGTCATCACTCTGAAATTGAAATTAAATTAAGCAAATCTCAAAAGGAAAGAGAAACACAATCATGTTAACCAATAATTGAAATATTTGAATTTAGCAGCATAGCAAACATTTACCTGGTGGAATTTATATAAATCATTTGATTTCTCAAAAAATTTTAATTTGAGAAGATCTTGTTCTAAACTCTGTAGAAATTCCTCATCTGATATGAACTTAGGAAGAAAGCAACACTTGAATGGTTTGGTATGTATCACACATCCACCCTCTGGAGAATAAAAAAAACATATTAAATCTATTTACTTTAATTGTTAAAGACATTGTAAAGTACTTAGAATGGTTTATATCAATCATAATAGTAAACAATTCTTTTTTGTTTCCTCTAATGTGAACCCCTTTTAACACTTTAAACAATTCTTTTTTGTTTCCTCTAATGTGAACCCCTTTTAACACTTTACACCCTGACATCAACATGCATTTTCTCTATACTGTTCTTCATACATTTCCCAAGGTGCTGACAAGGAGAATTTGTTTAATAATCAAGAGCTCCTTCAGTTAGTGATCATTTAGTTTATTCTCATGACCTTAATGCTTGATTCAGGGGTGATATTGTAAGGAGAAATTAGATGCTAGTCATTCTAAGAGGTCAAAGGGTTTAATTTCCCAAAATTATATGAACTTATAATTGTTCTTCTAGTTTTAATTCATCAAGCTGACGACAGGTGATTGAAAGAGAGAAACCTATCCACTGGAGAGTGTTACCTTGATAAAAAAAAAAAAAAATTCTCTCAATCCAGTTATTTTCAATGGGATATATATTACCTGTAAGGAAAAATTCCCACTGTCTAATTAGACCTTTGGAACCTAGAAGGGGGATTCCCAGGGTATGGGTGTTAATGCATGCAGTTTTTATAATTGTATATCTGTGCAGTTTTTACTTATTTATTACTCCTGCTGGAAAATTATTGTTTATAGTGATTAAAAAACGAAGCCTGTAGAATAATTTCGAAAAATATCAACGACTCGGTATTTGTCGTCGATGAATGTTTAATTAGCTAGGTTAGGTGAAAATTTCATAGTATTCAAGAGTTAGAACATTTAGGATGTCGGTACATACCATTAAAATCGTCTTCATTCCTAAATGAACAAAAAATATGTCGAGATCAATTAAAAGCCCTTTTTCCATACAAATGGTTACGCTTGTGTAAAAAAGAAAACACGTGTATATTACGTACATTAAGTTAATCGCAGTGCTGTAACCAACCTGTATGCACTAACAAATTTTCCTTTAAATGCTTCTGCGAGAAAATAGTGATTCAAAAGTTCACCCTTGAAATCATTCTTTGGCTGCTTAAAGCTTTTTGAAGCCCCACTTGTGGAATTTTCCTTTCTCTTCTTAGAAGATTTCATCCTCAAGGCAAACTTCGCATGGAAGAACAGTCAGGCGCCCTGAAATGTCAAGACAAGGCTGCTTGGCTGCTAAGTCGGGCTGTGCAGCCACGCCAACTACGTTTGCACGACAAAATTCAAGATGGTGGTAAGTTTCGGTTTGATTTGATTTATCAGTAGTCTTGATTTCCCACTGATCCCTCGTAGAAAACAACTCTAACAGTTTATTACTGTCTTTAGCTACCTCTATCTCTTTTACGGACGGCACAAAACCATCCTATGGTGGGTATACATTGCACAATGTTGGGAATTATTTTGCACGTTGTGCTACATGTATGTTCGAGGTAATACTGAGTGATAATTTACCCTTTTTCTCTTTACAGCTAGTAGAGCTGAAAAATGGAGAGACATACAATGGCCATCTTGTGAGTTGTGATAACTGGATGAACATTAATCTAAGGGAGGTCATTTGCACTTCTAGAGTAAGTTTATTTGTTATTGCTACAGAACAGCTCAAAAGTAAGTTGACAGTCTCGACACGAAATTCAATTCTTGATCCTCTAAACTTTCGAGAATCAAGGAACAAGAATTTAGTTAGTCTCAAGAATCGGGGATTGAGAATCGAGAATCAAGATGCTCAAAGAAGTTTTTGAGGTTTTTGATCCGCAGTTTCAAGGAAACAATTTAATTCTGTATTTTCTGACTGTCTTTTGTATGAAATACTCCTTGACATTTGCAGAAAGAACTTGGGGATTTTTTGTGCTTAGCAGTGATTTCATAATTTCGAAAACTCTCTTTCAGGATGGTGATAGGTTTTGGAAGATACCAGAGTGTTATGTGAGAGGCAGCAACATAAAATATCTTAGGATTCCAGATGAGGTACAACTTGATTGAAAACAATCTTTACTGATTATTTTCCAGTTGATCAATAAAATGATTTCATTATCCACTGTATGTTTACTCTTTAACACCTTAGCATCAGAGTGTATATTCTCCACACTGTTCTCTATATGTTTCCCATGGTAATGACAAGGAGAATTTGTTGATTGAGCAGGTGATCATGTCTTTCATTCTCATAACCTGAATTTTGTATTCAGTGTTTGGAGAAACAAGATGATGGTCACTCTTTAACAAATGGTAAACACTACAGCGTACACTATTGAATTATGGATGCACGCGGGAGGTTGCTAAGCATGAAAAAAGTGTAAGAGTCGCTCGAGGCAATAGCCGAGAGCGACTCTATTTTCTTGAGTGCTTAGCAAACCTCCCAAATGCATCCATAACCCAATAGTGTACGCTGTGGTGTTTACCATTTGTTTTATAACATAACATTGATACATTGTAGCTAAAGAGTTCCCTTTTATTTAACAAATCTTACGTGACCAGGAAAAACAAGCGCGCATGGAAAAATAGTATTTGCATTTGCTCGCGTCAGCAGTGTACACCCATGGGCAAATGGGGGACGCTAAATTGACCAATCAGAGCACGCACTTTACTTTGGTTATGTTACAAAAGCGGTTAACTCCTTATCTCCTAAGCATGACTGGCATCTAATTTCTCCTTACAATATCGCCCTTGAATCAAACAATTAAGGTCAGGAGAATAAAGGAAATGATTGTAAACTTAAAAAGCTCTTGACTGTTTGAGAAATTCTCCTTGTTTGTACTATAAGTATTGTATAGAGAACAGTAAGGAGAACTTGCATACTGATGTTAGGATGTAAAGGGTTAAAGTTTTAAACTTAAATGACACCAGGCTGCAAAAAATTAGACTTGGTATCGACGTACTGGGGCTATTTTCTGTGTTCGTTTCACCCTTGTACTCTTTTTGTCAATGCTTTAAAGGTTATAGACATGGTGAAAGATGAAATGGTGAAACAAGGAAAAAGCAGAGGGACAGGAAGACCAGGTAAGGAAGCTTAGATTGTTAAATCAGGAAGTGTTTCGTTTTTTGCAGTGATGACAGTTGCTACTCAGTTGCTACAGCATCTCCAGCACCTTCACATTAGCTAGTCCCCAGGTCACTCTGATAAAAGGTTAACACGAGAAATGTCAGCTTTGAAACCCTTTGCGCTAGCCAATTTACTTTATCAACTCTCTTGATAAAATCAAAATTACCCATGCCAGTTGGTCTCTTTTATCATATATAGACAGCAGTGCCTATGAGAGTCTTCTTACAACATTCTTAAGATCTTTGGATGATCAGCAGCTCGCATTTGAAATTTCTTATATATCAAGGATTACAGTTAATTATTTGATCTAGTCTAACCTTTCTTTCCAGAGACCCTTGAGCTTTTTCTCCTAATCAGCGATAAATGTCTGCATGTCACCAATCCAACTCTTTTAATAGTAATGACATGTTTTATCCTCAGGACGAGGTGGTCGCGGAGGTGGTGGAGGCCGTGGAGGCCACAGAGAAGGTGGCAGTGGAGGTGGAGGAAGAGGCGGGTCATTTGGTGGGCGTGGTGGGGGAAGAGGGGGAGGGGGTCAAAAGAGAAATAGAGATGATAGCTCTGGAAAGTAGTGTGATAGCTTTGATGTATGTGTAAATATATGTGGCTATCAATTGCATAAGGTACTATATACAGCAGGTACAAAAGTAGGCTTTTTGTAGTCTAATGTCTCCTAATGCTTCTATGTGAGCTGCATGCAATGTATAAAAAGTCAGTGAAGGTAGCAGTACTCCCGTGCATACTTTCTGGGGTACATGCACAGCTGTAACTGTTTAAGTTACAAAGATTATCTACATGTACAGATCATCTACATATTCTTGAGTGTTATTTAAATGGGTTCAATAGGTGTAAGCATGTCTCTCTCTTTATCTTAAAGTTTCCTTGCTCTTGGAGAAGAGCTGGAAGCAAGTATTTTGTGGATTGTCAAATTAAACAGTTGTACCTTAAAATTGTTTGGTGTAGGAAATTAATTAGTGTTTTACTTACTTTTATTATCCAACTACTCCTAGACGAGTACAAATAACGCCATAGACGAGAACAAATATCACGCGTATTTGTACTCGTCTATTGTAGTACCGGTTAAACAGGTTTTCTCGCATTGCGCAAGCGAAGAATTGGATTGTAGTTACGAAAAAAAAAAACAAGTGGCGTACAATTTGAATCATATTTCCGACGACGAAGAGTCAGAATGGCTGGCAAATATAGATCCAAGTTCATTAGATGAATCGAACGAAGAAAAACAGCTTGACGACCAGAAAATTTCTTCATTTAATGAAGAAAATAGAAACAGCA